CAAAAAGATTTGGAACTGACAATTTTAATATTGCTTGCACACCTTTGTATTTCAACATCATCACTGAGCAATTATCAGCCGTAAACCCGATCATTTTCTCCAGTGGTATGTTGCATCCGTTTAAAACTTCAATTATTTTGTCAGTAATGCCTTTGCCGGTTGCCTCCACAATATGTTCTAGTGATAGGAATCTATCTTGACACTTTCCATCAAAAGTTCTTACAATAATCGCCAAATGTTTGGACACAGTACAGTCAGTGCTGTCGTTGATAACAATTGAGTAATGCATTGCAAAATTTGCTTATAGCTTTAGTATTTTCTGGTCACTGATATCCATACATTTGCAATGATAACCGAAGTTAGTGCCAATGGTGTCGTAAGAATGTGTATGAAATATTGAAAATTAGTAATCGTCGATTTACACTAATTGCATTATAATGGAGACAACTTAAGTGAAATGGTACTGAATTTCCCGCGGTAGTACTTAGGTACTTTTTGTAGTGAAATGGTACTGAAAAAAGTACCATTGTACTGAATTTTCCATCCCTGGGTGGAGGGTATACATTGTAATATAAAAGGCGTTATGGACAAAATAAGAAATTTAAATAATTGACATTAAAAAATGTACCCTCACAACCTCAGAATGCGAAAAACTCAACAACAATAAAAAACGAAGATTAAAAACAAAACCCAATAATAATGGCCAGACACTTACCTTTAACAGATTATGAAATTAAATTACACACGTTTTTTATTTGTATTTTTCTTCAAATTTCTATATTTTTTCGCATCTAGTTATTTTTTTTGTTATTATTTTTTATTTACGTTTGTTCTGCTTAATTTAAATTTTATCTATCAATCAACAATATTCTCGTTTTCTCCATTTTTTGCTTTTATTTCACGTTACATATTTAATTTACGTTAGGGATTTGCAACCTTGTCATTAACTTACATATAAACAATGCGATACAATACGATTTGATCAATACGAACATTACATTTCATTGCTTGATTTTTCAATTTTATTTATTTCTTTTGTCATATTCAACAACAACTTAAGATGGCCTAAATGAGTTGTTCTTTAAAAAAAAACAAATAAAATTAAAATAAAATTAAAAATTCTAGTCGATATGTGTGAGTGAGTAAAAATGTCTACTATTTCTAGTATCGTCAGATCGATTCTTTGGTTTATAAGCAATTATATATTTTTTATTATTAGCTTTTTTGAATACCATGCAAAACACAGGCTTGGTTATTGAAATTGGCGTCTAAATTATGGGAAGGAATCAACAGAATTTAATTTAAAAACAACATTTTATTATTTTTTATGAGTTTTACTTCTCTCGATTTTCTTATTTAGATTTCCAAAAACTTCAATACATACAATATATATAGAGATGATATCACAATATTTGCTGCTGATGCGCTTATGAGATGTTTTGCTTAGAATGTTGTTTCAAATTTATTTATTTATTATTTTTTTATATATTTGTAATTTGCACCAAACTACATAGTACTGTACAGTATGGCTAATTAATATGTTTTGGTTCAACGCCATCACTCTGCCTAGGACATTCCCTTTCTTGAAGTCTCCCATAGAAGACCCTGGGGTCTCCCATAGAAAACCTGGGTCTTCCATAAAAAAGCTTAAGGTTAACCCTAGAAGACCTTGAGGTCTTCCATAAAATACCTTGAGGTCTGCCATAGAAGACCTTGAGGTCTGCCATAGAAGACCTTGAGGTCTGCCATAGAAGACCTTGAGGTCTTCCATAGAAGACCTTGAGGTCTTCCATAGAAGACCTTGACGTCTTCCATAGAAGACCTTGACGTCTTCCATAGAAGACCTTGACGACTACTATAGAAGACCTTTGGTTTGAAGGTTCACTTTGAAGGTTCTTTGGAGCTTTATTTGGAAGGTTAACAGTGGGCGCTCTTTTATTGATAGAAGTATTTTATTCAGAGACTACCCTTTAAATTTTACACTTTCCAAAGTAGACCCTTCAAACTGACTTCATTCAAAAAATAAAAAAAAAAAATAATAATAATAATAATAAAAATAATAATAAAGGTTATTAAAATAAAAGCCTTCGATATAAACCCCTTTTAAAAAAAAAAAAATTTATTATAGAATTTTCTTCGAAGCATGTCTTTCCTTTAGGAGATCCTATTAAGGGTATATTTGTAGAAAGGCCTTTAAAGGTTATACTTTCCATAGAAGACCCTTCGAAGAGTTTGCATTTCCAAAGAGAACAATATTTTTCTTTTTATAAAATTTCCTTTAAAGCACGCTTTTTCTACAGAAGACTCTATGAGAGGTCTTCTCATAAAAGATCATTTAAACGGTCATTTTGTCACAAAAAAAAACTTTTAAAGTGCCTGCTTCCTATACAAATTCCTTGGAAGGGCCTTTAGTCTATAAAAGCCCCTTTGAAAAGCTTAAAGACTCTTTGTAGGGTAATTTTTTGTGTGGATTTTTTTCTTCATAAAAGTCATATCATTCAGTGAAAAATATTAAAAGATTATTTTTTCCGTGGCAAACTTTTTCAAAAGACCCTTTAAGGTCTGTTTTTCAGTAAAAGATCCCATAAAGAGCCTCTTTTTTGCAGAGCAACCTTTGAAAGGATTTCTTGTTATTGAATGTTTTTTAAAGGACTTTTTTTTAGAATACCCCTCAAATGGCGTTTAAAATGTCTTCTTGAACTGTCATCTCTAAAAATATAAGACTCATTTTAGAGCTCCTCTTTCAATGGAAAATTATTTGAACGATCTTTAGAGAAGTTTTATTTCTATAAAATATCATTTGAAGGATCATTACCGAATGGAAGTTTTCTTAAATGATATTCCTTCTATGGAAGAGTCGAAGAAACAAACATACATCCATTTAAAGGTTTTTTTCTGTAGATGACTTCTTCCAAAGAAGATCTTTTTCACGGAAGGTTCGAAGAAAGAAGAGCTCTCGAAGAAGATTCTTGAAAGATCTTTAAAGAAAAAGTGGTAGAAAGGCATATTTTCATAGAAAACCCGAAGGGGGGACTTCTTTCCATAGAAGACCCTGGGAAGCCCTTCGTTTATGAAGGATAAAGTGAGTATTCTTATTTCTCGAGCAGTCTATGTGAATAGTGTTAATTCTATGGAAGACCATTTAAAGTGTATTTTCTACATAGATGACTTTCTGAAGGGTCTTCTTTCTATAGAAGATGCATTGAGGGACTTTATCTTTAAAAAGTCATTACTTTTCCTGTAGCAGACTTTATGAGTGATCCTTTCATCTTTCAGCATTATTTTTAAAATAGGTGACCTCTGAAGGGTCTTAGCAAAAGTAGAAAAGACGCTCTGAAGGGTAAACTTTTTATACCCTCAGCCATATAGCTATGATGTGATATGGCCTAAACGTGCCTCATCTAAAGGACGGTTTTAGACCCTATGCCTATTTGGACAAAATCCGTTTCAGGACATTAGGAGTCGATTTAGCGATGTCCGTCCGTTCGTTCCTAATATTTGCATCAGTGCTAGGCCTGATGTGAAAATGGACAATATCGGTCCACTCCATCAACGACCTCCCCAAAAAACCTTGCCAAAATTTTGGAAATTATAAATCTTATAAAATGTGATGTACCAGTCCAATTCATGGAATAGAACATGGAATATATCGGCCCACTCCTTTTGGTAACTCCCCCATAAAGTGTCAAATATCAATGAAGCTTAGAAATTAACATCCGATTCCATTTAGACTTGGCACGTCTCAAGATTTCTATCAACGCAAGATCAGTTATAAAAATAGTAGAGATCGAACTATTTCTTTTGGTACCTCCCCCACAGAGGGTAAAAGCTTTGAATGACCAAAACGATTATAAAATCCAAAAGAAGCATCCGGTTCTCTTCATATTTCACACGTACCATCATTTCTACTGACACAAAAACTGAATTTCTACTGACACAAGGTCTGCTATGAAGATGGAATATATCGGTCCATTTTTTCTGGGTATATCGGTCCACTACTTCTGGTGCCTTCCCCACAAAGGGTCGAAATTTTGAATATCCATGAATCTCATAAAACGCGAAATTAACTTCCGATTCCATTCAGACTTGGTACATTTAAATTTTTCTATCAACACAAAATCTATTATAAAGATGGTGGAGATCGCATAAATCCTCCCCCACAATATGTGAAAGTTCTGAATTACTAAAACGAATATAAAATCCGAAATAAGCAACAGGTTCTCTTCAAATTTCACATATATCTACAGTATATCTACTAAAACAAGATATCGGACCACTCCTACTGATACCTCCCCCAGAACAGGTCATCATTTCGAATAACCAAAACGTTGTTGGGCATCCAATTCTGGTGTGAAAATGGAGAAGATCTGGTGTGAAAATGGAATATATCTGTTCACTTCATCCGGTAAATGGTATGGAACCTACTCCATAGTGTGTTAACTATTTGAATAATCATAACAGAATTCAAAATGTATTTAAATAATCGAACATTGACTGAGGGTATATATCAGTCGACAAAACCGACTTATAATTTTTAACTTGTATCTATAAAATTTCCTTAAAATCGCATTTTTTTCTAAAAAGGTAATCCTTTACACATATCCTCTGCAGAGTGGTGGCGTAGTCTTCACAAAACAAAAATCATTTTTTTCTGAGATTCTAGTTAGGAATGTATTTTTGTTTCTAATTATTGCTTAATTATTTTTTTCATCGATATTATTGCTGATGATTTTTCCGAGTGAATTTCATGAGCTTCATTTTCGTAGTACAACACAAACAAAAAATCACGTTCTCTTATTTAACGATATACGTACGTATTTCAAAAAATATTTAGCATTTACAATAGAGGGTGTAAATGTAAGAATTTTTTCGGTTGATGGAAGGGGAGAGGGCTCAGAATCTAACTCCATAATACAAGTGTTGTTGTTGTCTAAGTTTATTATTAAATTTCAAATGTTTTTAATACATCTTTAGGTTTCTAAATGTTTGGGGATTGTTCGAGAACCTTCAAATGCTTGAGAGAGCTTTTCTATTTCAAATCTCTCAGTTTCTGTTATTTATCTTCATTTTTTTATTTTTCACTTTTTTCAATTTCGATTCAAACTGACCCCTATTCTAACCCATCCTATTTTTTCTTTCACTTTACAAATAATATAAAAATAAATCTCCATTTGTTTGGTTATTTCAAAACAGCCCTCACCCCTTCTTACATTTACAACCTGCCATGAAAATGCTCCCCATTACGCTACAGCTACATTAACTAACTTATTTTGTTAAGGAACACACTTTGTCATATACAAAACGCTAAATTTTTGTGACATACATTTTCAATTCTCTAAACATTCGAGAAAATTGCACAAAAAACCAACCAAAAAAGAAACAACATCTTAATCTAGACCATGCCAAAACCTTCGGTGCCCTCGCTAATGGCCAGCAGCAAGGCCTTTTCAAATTGTTCATAGCTTTCATAATCGGGTAAGCAGAGTTGATTGAAACTGTAACAAAGAGAGAGAGAGAGAGAGATAGAGAGAGAGAGAGAATTAAAAAATATATTTTAGAAAAATCAACGCCCAACTACTTACCACGTATGAGCTGTTGGTAGATTACCAAATGTTGGAGCCGCCGTAATCTGAAACTGAGGATTAAGCTCTTGAAACCCACCGGGTGGCAGCTGGGAACAGCCGGTTGTAAATTGCAGCAGACGTGCCATTTCGGTTTGACTAAAATTACTGATGCCGGCCCAAAACCAGGCCAAGACGCGGCGAAACTCTGAGGAGTTGCCGTTGGCTATGTGATGCGCCTTGAAGTCGGCAATGGAATACTCACCGGTGCCACACATAAGGAGCTGTTACAAAAAAGGGGATTTTAAATTCAATTAATCCTTCTCAAAGAATTATGTAGGTGTGTTTGATAACTCGATAAATTTTTGCAGAGGAAATTTTCTAAATAAGAATTTTGCTCTGTTCCAGAATCTGCAAAAATCTACTAGTTTTGCAATTTTTTATACCCTCCACCATTCTATGGAGGGTATATTAACTTTGTCATTCCGTTTGTAACTCCTCGAAATACTCAAAAAAGTATATATATTCTTGATCAGTGTAAAATTCTAAGTCGTAAATGGGCCATGTAGGTCCATGTTATCAAATAGCCCCCATATAACGGTACCTCCCGATATTCGGTATTTTGATGATATAAGCGTCATTATTCACCGAAATTGTTTTAAGTTTCGCATTTGAAGTTCGAAATGAATACTACAGCCTAAGGCAGAAAATCTTCTGTGCAGGTCCACGTCTTCATATAGCCACCGTATAGCGCTACCTCTAAATATTCGGTATTTTAATGATGTTAGCGACATTATTCACCGGAATTGTTTCAAATTACGTATTTAGAGTTCGTAATGGGAACTACAGTCTGTGACAGAAAATTGTCTATGCAGGTCCAGGTCTTCGTAAAGGCCCCATATATCAGTACCTCCCATTATTCGGTATTTTGACGAGTTTAGGTACAATACCCACCGAAATTGTTTGAGATGTCGTATTTGAAGTTCGTAATGGATGCTACAGCTTATAACAGAAAATTGTCTATGCTGGTCCAGGTCTTCGCACAGCTCCGATATAACGGTACTTCCCTATATACGATATTTTGATGATTTTAGCTACATTATTCACCGTTTATTTCAAGTTTCGAATTTGAATATGGTAATGGCTTATGACAAACAATGCCTATGTAGGTCCACGTCGTATAAACCCCAATATAAGGGCTATATTCGGTATTTTTAAAATTTGAACAGAATTTTTTAAGGATTAATTTTTTATTTTCTAAATTCGCTCAAAGTTCGGCCAGACTAATTTTTTTCAATCTTTTGCACAAATTGTTACAAAACAATGAATTATCGAACACACCTTTTGTCTTCCTCCCCCATACAACTTACCTCCAATTCATTTTCATCGAAAATACTTAACAAATTATCGGGTATAATGCCATTCAGACCCTTCAAAAAACTATCCACCTCATCCTTGACACTATTACACAGTCGCTGTTGGGCCAAAGCATCCAAATATTGATTTTTAGTGGCATTTGTCACCCTGACCTTCGAGCCGTTCGGCACCAATTCAATTGTCTTTGTCAACTGGCCACTGGCATCGTAGATGTCTTCAACAAAATACAACTCCAACGAATCGCTGGCATCCAAATCGGTATCCAAAATATATTTGATTTTCGATAAATACAAATCGGGGTCGTCTTGTTCGAAATACTGTAAAAGAATTCAAAATATTAGAAAAAAAATATTTTCCAAATTGAATTTCGATAACTTACCTTATAATGCACCCTCAAACCTATTAATTGAGCCAGAAATGACCGGGTAAATCTGGCCCTTACCAACTGGCGGTATGTACCTCCCAAGGCACTTTCGTACAAACATTTGCCCACAATTTTTCCAGCGAATTCGAAATGTTTCAATTTCAGATGAGCCGGCCTGTGGGGATTCGGATGGACCAAGGCCTGACGTTTATCGTGAAAGGTACAGAACAAACCCCCACGTGGATCGAACAAGGCACTGCAAATGAGCTCGAACCATTCACGTCGCAGACCACCCCAATCGATACCTGAAAGGGAAAATGAGAGTGAATAATGAATATTAAACAAGTAAGCATAGGCTATAGTCGTGCGGGGTCGACTATAGTATACCCTACAACACTACAATATGTTAGAAGCCCCCTTATGTCTAAATCCATATTGGAAGATTTCGGATTTGAAATTAGGATTTTGACTAGGGACATTTGCCCAATATTTATGCACTCCGTCGGGCTGCAAGCAAGAAGCCCCTCCAAATTTAGACTAATCTATAAGATTTGCTTGTCTACGATATTTGGCTATATTCGTCAACGAAATCAGCGTAAAAAGCCAGAAGTTCGCCTTTTGTGTATTTTGGATATCGCCTGTAAGTAATGCTGGTATTTTTTCACACAAAATTAGTGGTCCATTGTACCCGCAGTCCTAAACTCTAACTTTATGCGAGATTTCGTGTCCTTTGGTTTCTATTTGTGACCTTTATAACGGCAGCAAAATCAGGAAAAATTTTAGTTGTTGATCCACTTCAACCCCTAATATATTGCGGACATCTTTGAAAACAATAGGCCTAGCCCTTCTGAGGCCAACCCTACCCTTGTGAAAATTTTCGTGAGGATCGGACGATATTTGCAATACTTATATAATATCTCCAACTTGTGCTGTAAGGTGAAAAAATATTACCCCCAACACATAGTGTTGTAGGGTATAAAGAGTTCTTCAAAAGGTGATTTTTTGATAGGGTCGTCTATAAACATTCAAAGATCCTATGGGAGCTATATCCAAATCTGATCCGATCTCGATAAAAAAAAATCACAGAGGCATTTTTGGGCTCCATAAGTTATTTGGTACTAAATATTATTCTTGTGGAGTACATATTACGAGTGTGAGGGACTTAAATACCAAATCGGATGAAATATATATATACGGAGATATAGCTATATCAGAATCGATTTTCTCCAAATATGAACTATTTATTTCTAGGCTGAATTCGGTCGAAAGTGCTGTTACATGTTTGGTGCATAATAATCGTGAAATCGGTCGAAGATATACATGGGAGCTATATGCAAATCTGGACTGTATGTGATATGTGTTACCAAATATCATTCTATTACGAATGTGAGGGACTTAAACACCAAATCGAATGAAACATATTCATGGGAGCTATAGCTATATATGAGCCGATTTCCACCAAATTTGACGTACTTGATTCTAGACTGAATTCGGTCGGGTGTGCCAAAATCATTTGGACTGATGTTGGCCATTTGGTACACAATTAATCTGAAATCGCTTGAAGTTATATATGGGAGCTATATTTAAATTTGAGTCGATTCTCACCAATTTTAATAGGGTTCGTGCTTGGGCCGAACAAATATTGTTTGGAAATGTTCATCTCAATCGGATAATAAATGCGCCGTGCATAATATTCAAAAGACCCTTCATAGGTGATCTTCTTTAAAAATAAGATCCTTTAAAGGCTCTCTGAGGGAAATAGTCCTTTCTTCTAATTTTTATTTTATGGAAAGAAAGAGTCTACTACGATCGTCAGCTCTCCTATACAAAAAATCCTTTCAAATGCCTTTCATGGAAACAAAACACTTCAAAGAGCATGCCGTTGAAAAGGACCCTTCGAAAAGTTCTCTATGTAAAAAGTACTCTTCAAAGAGACTTCCATAGGAAGAAGACCATTTACAGGGTCTGTTAGAGAAGGAAGAACCTTAGCACGGCATTCCGTAGGATTTTCTGTAGAAAAAAGCCCTGCAGAGAAATTCTGTAAACAAAAACCTTCAAAGGGCTCTCCAAGCCAAAATATGCACTTGAAAGGGTCTTCCATACAAATAAGTCACAGATTCTGCTAGAGAAGGATGAACCTTTACTGGTTCCTTTATAAATGGAGGGTCTTCTATGAAAAGAAGTCCATTCTTCGGGTCTTCTATGAAAATATGCCTTTCAACTTCCAACTATAAAGGAACACCCTTGAACATGGCCACTCCCTACTTCCTGTTTTTCGTTTAAGAAATGCCGTTTAAAGGACCTTCTTCGAGAATTCTGTTCAAAAGGTCTTCTATTGAAAAAAGTCAGAGTCTTATATGAATATAAGATTCTTATTTTTATCCTTCGAGCCATGGAAAAATGGTTAAGGCCCTTTAAAGGACCTAAATTATATACAGGGGGCACTATTACCATAACTGCTAAGGTGGATTAATATTGACATTTTTTTCTTTAGAAAGAAACCAATATAAAGAGGCTTCTGCAAAAATAAATTCTTCAAAGGGCTCTCTAAGTTAAAATATGAACTTTAAGGGGTCTTCTTTAGAATTAATCCGCAGAATCTGCCTCGGGTCTTCAACGAAAATAAGTTCTTTTTTTTGGCTGTTCTATGCAAATATACCATTCAAAATTCCTTCTTTAAAAATGATTAAAGGAAGAAGGCACCTTCTTTGACTACAGGTCCTCTCTTCGAACCTTCTGTGTGAAAAATACCTTTTAAAGGATCTTCTTTGAAAAAGAATCTTCAAAGAGGTCCCATATAAAAAGAAATTCTTTTAAAGGTCTTCTATTGAAAAAAGGTCCCTTTAGGGTCTGATATGAATATAAGATACTTCTTTTTATCCTTCGAGTCATGTAAAAATGGTAAAGGCCTCTTAAAGGTCATTTTTTGAAAAAAAAGACTCTTCGAAGAGTTTCTATAAAAGGAAATTCTTCGAGGGTTCTTCTAATTAAAAAGGACCTTCCAAGTTCTTCTATGACCAAAAGATGCCTGTTTTTCTTCGAGTCATCCATGAAATTAACACTGTTTGAAAGATATTCTATGAAACAATTAAAAAGGGCTATAAGTTCGTCCGGGCAACTTCTATGCCCTCCAATACTATGTATATCGAAGTAAAATGATATAATAAAAAGAGTTAAATATATTAACTTAGCCGTATTTATTTATAAATAAAAAATAAAATAGCTCCAATAGCGAAACTCATTTGGTTGGAAATTGCGTCAGAAGCCTTCAAACTACTGAAAAATCGGAAGATACTGTTATAAGGGGGCTATACCAATTAGTGGACCTGAATCGAACATCGTTCATAAAGAGATTCGCCAAAATTCCAAAAATCATGGGGGTACCGTTAAATGGGGGCTATACCAGCTAGTGCACCTTATTCGAACATTTTTCGCAAGGAGAGAACAGACCTTTCAAGAACCACACATGTCAAGTTTCAGCTGATTTAGTTGGAAATTGTGGCAAAAACCTTCAAAATATCGAAAATCGAATGGTACCGTTTAAGGGGGCTATGCCAATTCGGGGACTTATATCAAACATATTTGGAAAGCGAGGAACAGACCTAACCAAGTTTCAGCTGATTTGGTTGGATATTGTGGAAGAAACCTCAAATTTACGGAAAATCCTGATGTACCGTTATATGAGGGTTATACCTAAACGTTGGTCCACTTTTTTTCCCCATTTTCAATACCAATTAGCCGGCATATTATATAAACCTTTGTGCTAATTATTAATGCTCTTGCTTAAATAATGTGGACTCTAACCTGATGTCAGCATACAGACAGTCGGACATTGCTAAATCGCCTTATAAATTTATACTGATCAGGAATATTTCTACTTTTTTGGGCCTCCAACAATTATTTTGAGGGGTTGCAAACGGAATGACAAATTTAACATACCCTCCATTGTATGGTGGAGGGTATAAAAATAATTCTTCAAATGATCTATTATGGAAGAAGAAGAGCCTAAAAACGGTTAAATGGAATTCCGACTCCACAAAGGGTCTTTTATGGATAGAGGATTTTTTAAAGGATCTTCCATGGATAGATGACCTTTTAACCATGAGAATGACCTTCTTTCTATATCAAGTTTCAGGATTTCAGCTCTATTCCTTCACCCAATACCAAATATAGTACCATTTAGTACGTTTCGTACAATTATAGTACACACTCTAATACCACCTGCATATATGAAATCCCAAAATTAAATTTCGGCATTCCAGCTCTACCCTATCACCAAATATCCAATTTAATACAATTGTAGTACGCATTTCCATAATCAGCCCTTTCTCTAAAACGGTGACATCCATATTCAATTTCAGGAGTTTATCTCTTTCCATTTCCGAAACCACCTCCATATCTTACCCACTGACACCAGCAGTAGCAACTATATCAAATTTGAGGATTTCAGGCCTATCCCTTCACCCAATACCAAATTTAGTACCATTTAGTACTTTTCGAACAATTATAGTACGCATTTGCGAACAACCACCAGATCTCAACACCAGATACCATCGAAGACCTCAATATCAAAATTCGGGATTCCAGCTATATTTTTCAAAAAAAAAAAAAAAAAAAAAAAAAAAAAAAAAAAACACAAAAATATGTACTAAATTTAGTACCATTTAGTACACATAAGTACGATTTTTCAAAGATTACGTCATACCACAATCCTATACTCCCACAGTAATCGTAATTCCAAATTTCCTATCGGTTCACCCAATTTCAAATTGTACCAAATTTGGTACATATGAGTACAAATTTCCAAAAGTACCTACATATCCCAATCCTACACTTCGACAGTAATCTCATTTCCAATTTTCAGGATACCAGCTATATTGGTTCTCCCAAATCCGAATTCTACAAAATTTAATACCATTTAGTACAAATTTTCGTAACTACCTACATCATTCAAATCTCTGTATTCCAACTCTACCGGTTCACCCAAAATTTAAATTGTACCAAATTTAGTACCGTATAGTGCACATACCTCAGTCCTAGAATGCAAAAGCAATCTTATTTCAAAATTTCCGGATTCCAACTCTATTGGTTCACCCAAAAATTTAAATTGTACCGAATTTAGTACCAAATTTCCAAAACTACACCCACCTTGCTCGCCCTGAAACGTAACCTCAAAATTGCCACACCAATCGGAAACCGAAAAATGTTTCGTTGCTTTCATACTGCTCTCGAGGATTTTGTCACGCTGCACTTTCAGCGACAACTTCTCGTGATAATAGTTTGCATGGAACTTGCGAACTTCGTGATAGAAGAAATCCTGTTTATCCTTAAACGTTTCCGAACCGCCAATGTTCTTCAAAAGGAAATGGGTAAAGGTGGCGGCAATAATATTACGATCCCTTGAGGCCAATTCGATTTTTGGTTGGGCGCCATCGTCGATAATAAAAATCGGTCCATGGACATGGGTCGGCAGTTGTGGCAAGAAATGGAATTTCGTCGATGGACACAAGCGGAAGGTGGCAATGCGTTTGGGTATGAATTTCAAGATCATCTCCTTGATGGTGACCTGGAATATTAGAGAATTCTTTGTTCAATGAGATTTCGAAGTATGCCGGTTCGGTTCGCTAGAGGGATTCAAATCCCCAACGACTCACTTGTTTGGGTCCCACCGAACAGAGCACCTTACGTGGCTTGGATTTGGCAGCGCCAAATATGCTCAGTAGACGAGCTTCATAGCAAATGTTGTGCTTGCGTGAGGCAATATTTTTATGCACCAATGTGGTGTCGCTGCCTGGAAAATCGGAAAGCAAAAGGAGTATTAAAGTGATTTGTTTCCTGGTGGCGGGAAAACATTTGGACTTACTGCTTAAAACTATAATATCAAAATCGCCATTCGGCAATTTTTGGTCTAGATAACTTATGACGGCACGTAGACATATGGGTTCGGGGAACAAAGCAGTTACGGCAACCCGGGCATTTACCCTGTCATAGGTGAAGGCAATGGCATTGCGTAGCTTTTCCAATGGCTGGCCATTTAGGTCATAGGTCTCCACGTGGTAACCCTTTAGAGAAAATAAGAAAAATTAATGAAATCCAAAAAATAATTTTCAAAATCTTACCTTAACCGGATCCACACCCTGATCAAACTGACAGGCATTGCCGAACTCATCTCTCGGCTCAATGTGCAGTAGTGTGGGAGACCCAGCACAACAGATGACCGTACTCGCCGGCCTTATAAATCTCGAACGCCTTGCATCTATGGGACCCGGTATAAAGGTCTTGGTAAATGGTGATCCCGCAATGTGACTCGAGCCAATCATAACCGATATCTTATATTGACCCGCTGTTCGCACTGTAAACTTAACTTTGGCTATATTGGCATTATTGGGATCTGTGGGTGAACCCAATTCACTGATGGTTACCATTTTGCGGGTACCTTCGGTAACTTCAACAAAAAACTGATCTGTATCACAGATGGGATAAGGCTGGCCGTTGCGTTGATAGAAACGCACAACGAAGCACATGGTGCCACCCACAACAGCTGGATCCTTCCAATCCCATTGTACCTTACAATTGGCGGGTAGCAAATATTTCCCGGTGACATATTGCAGCAGCGAGTGGCGTGCCTCGGGCGCCAATGATGGCTGAGTCATGGCGGCCAGAGTAACCAGACCAGCCACCGAAACTGAGACCACCAACATTCCACCCCAGGTCCAGGCATCTTGATGTTGACTGGACTTGACCACCGTCGACCATAGTTGGGCTTTTAGGGCATCCAGCTGGGCCTTGGATGTGGGTAAATTTTGTCGAGCCTGGGACCACACCTGCCAATCTTTACCTAAAATTTTACTGGCTCTCGAGTCCTCCAACCAATAGACATCTTCCAGTGAGGCAACTTCAACATTCAGCAGACGCTGATAGTGATGCTGCAGGCGATGATCCTTCAACCATTCGCGTAAAATAAGTTTTTGTTGCAAATGCATGGCAGCACGTTGCAGTCGTTGTTCATCACCGGGTGGCAGTTCGGGTAGGCGATCGGGATCGCCACAACTGGACAGGGATGAAATGCCTGAAAAGAGAAGAAAAGGTGAGGGAAACATTAATAAAAGGAAGATCGCGGTAGTTAAGTTATCCATCTTTGAGGAATAACTCATTTGTTGGGAGGTACTAAAATTTTCAGAGTTATGGGATAAATTTGGATAAATAAATTATCCAAATTATGGTTATCCACGATTTGGGATGAAAACTTTTTAGTATAAATAAAGAACACATCCACGTTGCGATAAAAATAAATTTTAGCAAAGACCGAACTGTGCGACAATATTTAATTTTTTCAATAATTACGGGGAAAATCCAGCAGATTATGAAAGTAGAGCTAAAAATAGAAGACACTTGTATCGGGGTTTTGAAAGTTTATATCGCAAAGTAAACTAAAATGGGCGAGGGAAAGTTCTCCCACTCCCGGTTTTTTTTTATTGAAATTGTCCGATTAAAATTCTTTGGAATCCGTTGATTTAAGGTAAGTAGATACGCGATGGGGGTGTTGAGACTCACCACGGGAAATTTTGATGGGGATGTTGAAATGAGAAATTCTTCACAATAAAATTTGATGGGGAGGTTGAAATTACAAGTTTTTTACTATTAACCACTAGATGGTGCTGTCTCTGAATATAGCATAGACATACTCCATACTGCTCATCAAAATGTTCCAAGGTGAAACTCAACATCCCCATTGCGTATCTACTTAGGTATATGGGGTCTTTGCAATATTGCAGATAAAAATATGAGGATTATTTTGGTCTACGACTTTAATCCTCAATCGAGTCCACAAAGAGGTCTTTTTGGTCCTTTTTTTGAAAATATGTTTAAAAACTCTCTTAAAACGCCAAGTTCAAATATTCTACAAAATTATTTGCCATAAATTTCTACCAAAGGTTCCAGAATACATAAAATCTAAATCTTATCTAAACTCATAAATATTAAAAAACTCATTTTGGGGATAAAACCGTACTTCGCATGAGTTTATACAAAAATCTTCTACAAAGCAACATTTTTGAAATATGATGTCGAGGACAAAACTATTCTCCATCAAATTTCACTATAAGTCACCAAAGAAAAAAATTCCTATCCGCATTATATAGCTTTAAATCGCTGCATTGAAAAATTAGCTCGGGGTAAAGCCGTTGAAATTCCAAAAAGTGCAAGAACTTACACCGCAACATAAAGAAAATAGACTCAAAAGAGCTAAAGAGTTACTTCGTTGAATTTCTTGGCCGAAAGTGGTGAACTGCCGAATTTGGCTTCCTCCGATGAGAAAACATCTGATGTCCAGCAGTTTGTAAACAAACAAAATTATCGTGATTGCTTGCCAAAGAGGTCAGCTGAAAATGTGCACCTTCGATTGGCCACCAGAACTCACTCGCCGGCCATGGTGATGGTGTGGGCCGCATAAAAGCCGATGGTTGCTCTCCGCTCGTATTAATCGACCGTGGCATCAGAATAAATGACGAATATTATAGGGAAAATATTCTGGAGGGTGTATTAAAGCCTTGGGCACGTAAACATTTTGGCCGCAGACCTGGGACATTCCAACAGGACTCAGCACCATCGCACTCAACGCGCCAAGAATGGTTACAAAATGAGGTTCCTCGCTTCATTTCCAGCGCACAATGACCACCAAAATCTCCGGACCCCAATCCCTTGGACTATTGTGTTAATAGTTCTTGTGCTTATGGAAATATTAAGATGTACCATGTCTGGAATCAAATAGGAGTTCGGATTTGATTTCGCTTATGTGCTTCATGGATATTGAAAATGATGATCCTTTTTGGGATAGGTACCAGAAGGAGTCGACCGATTCATTCCATCTTCACAGCAGATCTGTTAGTAAAAATAATGGCATGTGTGAAATTTGAATTGATCCGGATGCTTATTTGGGATTTTATGAACGTTTTGGTTATTAAAAAATGTTGACCCTTTGTGGGAGAGGTACCAGAAGAAATGGTCCGATCTCTACCATCTTTATAGCAGTTCTTGTGTTGATGGAAATATTGAGATGTACCAAGTCTGGAATGGAATCGGATGTTATTTTTGCGTTTTATGCGCTTCACGAATATTCAAAATTTTGACCCTTTTTGGGAAAGGTACCAGAGGGAGTCGACCGATACATTCCATCTTCACAGCAGATCTTGTGTTAGTAAAAATATTGACATGTGTGAAATTTGAATTGAACCGGATGCTTATTTCGAATTTTATGATCGTTTTGGTTATTCAAAAATTTTGATATTTTGTGGGGGAGGTACCAGAAGATGTGGTCCGATCTCCACCATCTTTATAACGTATCTTGTGTTGATGGAAATAATTAGATGTACCAAGTCTGAATGGAATCGGATGTTATTTTTGCTTTTTATGAGCTTCATGGATATTCAAAATTTTGACCCTTTGTGGGGGAGGTACCAGAAGGAGTCGACCGATATATTCCATCTTCACAGGAGATCTTGTGTTGGTGAAAATGACATTATGTTTTATAAGAGTTATAAGTATTCAAAATTGAGACCCTTTGTGGAGTGGCTTTATATTGTCCATTTGTGCAAAGTTGGGGCAAAATCGGATGATCCTGTTTTTCTGTGCAATAAAATATTATTTTGAAAAATTCGACCTTTTGTGGGTGAGATACAGAAGGAGTGCAGCGATATTGCCCATCTTCGAACTCGAGCTAAGTTTGATAACAATATTACGATGTACCAAGTTGGACCAAATCGGATACTCTTTTCGAGAGTTATCGTGCGCACCAGCCAGCAGACAGACGGACATCGCTTGATCGACTACAAATGTCCTGAAATGGATTTGGTCCAGAGAGACCTAGGGTCTAAATTTGTTATTTCTATGAGACACGTTTTGGCCGTATCAAATGATTTATACCCTCTCTAGCCATATGACTGAGGGTACAATAAATTAAATATTTAAGGATATAGTGTATCCATGTCGTTGGATAACTGTTATTTGAATAAAATTAACTATTTTCGATGAGGGTTAATCCAATCCTTGGGAATGAATTAAATTACCCTTGTTGGGTAATCAATATCAATGCTATCCTATTAGAATTCCAAAAAAAAAATTTCCAGCCTGCAGATGACCCATTTTTGAATAAATACATTTAAATACATTGAGTATAATCCTCAATAAAACTTCTCTCACTCAACTATTTTGCCTCCTTGCAAATCTTCTTGCTTTTGTTTTCTTTTTAAACATTAGCCAAATCACAAACTCGTCTAACCTCTCCTACTTCCCCCTCCCACATTTCAATTTAATAAAGCAATTTCATTACATCGTTTCATTCCGATAAATGCCACCATGGCTGGTTGTTGGCATTAAGATAATCTCACTTTTAATCAGTGCTTAATAGATGTAATTACTTCTACCGACCCTACTCCCTTCTCCACCTCTCGCTTGATGTAATTATCACCAGCAACGAAATATTTTCAATTTGTGACAAAAACAATGTTCAGTCACATTTAGTACACCATCAACCACCACCCTCTCGCCCCTTTACTGCCGGTCTTACTTTGTTAGCCTAAAGGAGGAAACAAGCTGGCACAGGCGAAAGTTTGTTTCCTACTCCTGCACTTAATAATTTTAATGTTTCTTTGCCGACTTTATTCCATTATGGCCCCTGCCTCTCCTTCTTTCAAAAGTTTCGTAAATTATTTCTTAATAAAAACCCACCTTCCCAACCAAAAGATGGGTGCCTGTAATTCTGCCTTCCTCCTTCTCTTATAAGGATTTAAGTAAACACTTTTCGGAATCAGAAAAATGGAATACACAACAAAAGGACACAATACCGCACACACACACGCACTCACTCACCTAGTTAGCCATTTACCTTGGACTATGGTTATAAATGACTTGAAAACGCTTAAAAGCACATTACTGTTTCTTTAGTAAAACCCCTACCCAGCTGACAACCTGCCCGCCTGCCAATCAATTGAGTGTAATTTTAGCGAAATTTATGAAAGGCGTGAAATATTTCATTCGAATTGAAATGAATTTTTTTTGTTGTTGTTCTGCGAATGTCATGAGTGAAGTAAACGAAATGTCATTAAAACAAAATGAAAGGACATTTTTCCACATAAAAGCCAAAATAACATTGTGTGCCGTGTGCTTACACATTGTGAGAGATGATCCGCGAGGAGAATTGCCATTTCATGGAAGCCAGTTAATGTTGAAATAAATGACAGTTTTTACAATCGAATATTGTTTTTTGTTCCACGAATAAGGAATACGGGGAAATTAGCGGAAGAGGTTACCTCGAGTAGGCCTAATTTGAATATTTAAGAAAAATGTGGTTCATAAGTCTAGCATTAGTAACGAATCGAGTGAAACCGGCACAGATTCTGACAGTATTTACATTTTACATAGGAAAGTTAATTTCGAAAAGGTTACGAAATTCATGTCGGTGTTCGTCGCTGGGTAGTGCCGTATTATGTGGGCAAGAATTCACATCATAGATGATGTGGTGTCCATTTTCGAATTTTGAAAAACGGAAAATTGTGTTAGGTTTAAGCTCAATTGAGTCTAAAATTTTTGTTTGAATTCGAAAAAATATCTGATATATTCGACAAAAAATCTGAAAATCTGAAAAATCTGGTTGTGCTGAATTGTACTTGGTTTGTGCTCATTTGTGACGATTATTTTGAAAGTATGCGAGAATTGCAATTTTCGAATTTCGAAAAATTAACAGTTGTTCTTGACTTGTACTAACTTGAGCCGTTAATTTTTTCTCAATATCTTTAACCGTTTTAGAATATGACAATTTCGAAAAAACAGTATTTTCCAGAATTTTATAGAAAATATCTAAATTTTCGAATGTCTCAGATATTTTTCCGAATTGCGAAAAAAATTTCTTGTTTCGAAATTTGAAAATTTCAATTTCAACGGGCACCACGTTCAAATATCATAAGGTTTTGACAGAAACACGGCGCACGGTGAGCTGACAGAATCTCTCCCTCTTAAATTTTGTGAAGATAGGTCCACTATCAAATATTGAACGGCGGTTCCAAATTTTACATA